TTACATGAATTGATGAGTTATGCTTTTTGTTGTTGTTTTTATTGCTCTCATTATTATTGATGATTTTTTTTTCATGATTTTCCGATAATGTTCATTCATCAGACGTCAGTGATCAATTCTATTGTTCCACTGAGAAACTGGATTCCAAATAAATATTGCTCACAATATTTCTTGTTATTTTGAAGCTTCACACTGAAATAGGGTAATCGCTGTAAGCATTAAAGTTAGTTCCGACCTACGATTGACCTACGATTGATCCGCGTCGAAATGATCAAACTTTTGGAATTACTGTAGTTTCCGGACTATAAGGCGCCGTTAAATGCCTTTAATTCTCTCAAATAACGATAGTGCGCCTAATAATCCGCAGTGCCTTATATATTGATCAATTATATTCGTGAGTGGTACAATTGAACAACTCGGAGGACTGGTCAAAAAGATAGTCCAAACATAGGCTGAATAAGTAGGTCAACGATCTGAGAATGAGAGTGTGCTGTGATTTTGTGAAGGAATCAAGTGAAAGGCGAATATCTGGAATTTCAGTTTGGCAAGCGAATAACAGATTCACTTTTTTCGAACAATCACTGTTCCAATCTTTCAAAAACGATACAAATTATAGTTACAATTAACTGGAAATGGTACTTCTGCCTTTCAGAGTCACCTTGATCATTTTTTACTTGATTCGGTTGCGTAAATGGTTGTGTGAAATAAACTCGTTTAAATTCCAGATAAAAAGTAGTCCTTTAAGAAATTTCCATTTGTTTACTCTGATATTAAGGAACTTCTTCATCTAATCTCCTGGATTTCCTTCAATAACACCAGTGAAGAAGACGGAGGGGGGACAGGAGTCAGAAAGCCGAACGTGAGTGGAGGGTAGGGCTCTCGAATGAGATGCTTGAAGCAATATGAACTGAACTGAGCTGGAAGCCGGGCTAGTTGGAATTTGCGAACTGATAATCTAAACCTCGGCGGTTCAAGTAGGCCAGCAAGGATTTTTCCAGGTCTCCATCACTGAATATCAGTTCTGGTCGAATTCAGCTGTTTCAGAAGTGTTTTTTAATGAAATTGAAAACTCATTGAAGCATGCCGAGCTTGTGGGCAGTGTGGTGCGGCTTATAGGACTTAGATATTCAACTGTTTCGTCAGTTTAGCACTTGAGTGAGAATTTTTCGATTGCAGATATTATAGAATCCAATAATATTTGCCATAATTCACGAATTAATGGCAATTGATCAATCGCAGTGCCCAGGTTTGATAACTTCACAGGTTCGATTGATGAAATGTTCAATATCAGTGGTTCCAATTCGTTCGAAGCTCTCTTAAAGCCCCAATGAAATTATCCGACGACTAACTAACAATATGTTTCTTTCATTCAGAAATTTGGTCGTAACGCTCCACCCTACTTAAAAAATGGAATCATTTTGTTCCAAAAATATCGCATTGAAAACATGATTGGCGGAGGAGGCTTTGGACAAGTCTATCGTATGGTTGATGAGGTAGGTCTTGAGGTTTGCGATAGGGAGCCTCTCTTCGTTTCTGCTTTAGGAACAGTTCCACTGTATTTTTAAGATTGACGATCTTCGATTTGATCTTGATTTCTTGATCATAATTCTCACTCGTTATATGATCAACTTGTGAAAATGTGTGGCAAATACCGGAATTTAGCGAAACATCCTCGTTTAAGGGTAAGAATTTACCCTGACAGTGAAATGTATAGAAATTTAAGAGAACCGGCACACGTCTCGCAATGAAAATAGAACTGGAGCAGCATGAGCCTGCCCGAATGGTTCTGGAGCATAAAGTGCTGATGGCACTTCAAGGCACACCACATATTCCGTATTTCGTGAGTTCGTTTAATGATTCACAGATGAGCTGATTCTCGTTTATGATTGATGCTCTGTTCAGATATGAGCACAGCAAAGCATTCATTAGGCTTGGGTGTTGGCATGAGATGGACAATGAGCGTTTCAACGAGATTCCCAAACATTTCATCGAGATTCTTGACGATTCTGATCTGGTGGTGGCGTCTGCATCTTTCGGTTTGATCACCAGGGCCTGAATTATTCCATAAATACACCGTAACCACTGGGTTGAAGCGAAGTTGGGGATATCACATGACCATTGGGGCTGAAACAGTCAATGAAGGTGGATGGAAGGTCACCGGTTCAGTAGCATTTGGTACCAAGAGGTTGAATTCAAAGTCGTTCACCTGAGATATCGCATAAAGCACAAAACAGCATCACGGAATAATGAGGCACATCTTAGGGTGGGCTTTAATGACGTTTGATGAACGACCGTCAAAATGAGGCATAAATGTCGATGAATGTTGGGACGTATGTTCTCTTCGGTTCCGCCATAGCCGATAGGATCTTGTAAAAGACAGTATCATGACCGATCGATTCCGATAAAAAATTCATATACACTGATAAGGAATTTTCGTGAAAATTTTTTTTATTATTCAGGTTGGCTGCGGTTCTTACGAATCGTTCAATTACATCGTGATGGAGTTGCTCGGGTCTAATTTGAGTGAACTGAGGCGTCAGCAACGGAGACGTCGTTTCACTGTGGCCACTGTTATGAGGGTAGGAAAGCAATGCTGCGCTGCACTGAAATCTGTTCATGATATAGGATATATTCATAGGTTTCGCTTTTTTCTGCTGTTTATAACACAAACACTTCTTAGGAGAGCCACAGTGGTGGCTTGGAGCAGAGCGCTGTGTTGCAGTGCT